GAAAGTTGAATCCTGTACATACCCCAAGTCGAGTCCTTCTTGACGATCCTATATGATAACGTCCAAGTTGTTTTTAATTTTGAGCATAGTGTCTTTTTTCGCTGAGGCTGGATACAACCACAAGCCATCCCCTTTATCGAAAGTGTGCTACAAATAAATCACTTATTTGTAATTTAGAGGGAACCTATAGGGTCGTGGAATTCAAAAATAAAGAAAACGTGTAGCCCCTTCATATACAAATGAAACCACTCAAATTCCAACAAACAATAATTTTATTTGGTATTTGTTAACAACGTAACTAACAATGTTACTTTTTAAAATTTGAAAATTATAACATCCTGGTTTTTCCGGTGAATCCGATACGGTATGTACCTCTGAGGTATGTACCTTTTCCAAACCGGAGCTCTCCAGGTTGTTTCCTATATTCAGGAACGAGGATAGATTGCTGGTGTGACGTCACTCCAGCTGATTCAGACTCCAAATGATGATCTTGTGGAATAGGTACCCAGAATAGCTATTTTCCTAACGAGTGCGGGAAGAGAAATTGACGGCACGAGGGTGCGAAGCGCCCGACTGCCGGAAATTTCTTTCCGCAAGAGTTAGGAACTATATTTTTTTACGAGCATACTAGAGCTGATATTACGAAGAGTTTAATTTAAATAAAATGCGATTATGCAGAAGGTAGAATTAAAAATGTATTAATAGTATATTATATACCTAGGTAGAGAAGTTGGTCATTATATACCGAAAGCTTTTATAAACCGAGGCGCGCAGCCCCGAGGTTTATAATGCTTGAGGTATATAATGACTTTCTCTACCGAGGAATATATAGAATTTTTTTTACTACTGCTAGTAAAAAATAAAAAATTTGTTTAAAATCTGTGTTCTAATTATTTTTTGTGAACGCCCTCTTGAAAGTGCTGCCCTCTATTAACAGCTTATATAACTTCCTATGTACCTACAGAAACCTGTATTTTTTTTTCAAATTGACGTATGAAATTGAAATTGAACCAATAGAAACATGACAATATCCTTGCGTCATGACGTCACTTTCATTATTGACCTAGGTATTTTTTCATTATTTTCATTATTAACCTAGGGAGAGAAATTCAATTTTTTCTTAGAAAAATAGATTGAATAATGCCTATTTCTCAGGTTAGTGGTAAAAAAAGGTATTTATAAAAAGGTAAAGGTACAGGTATAGGTGTATCAACAATACAAACAATTCCATGTCACAATGATTATTTCAAACTCTTCCCGCACTGAGTGTGGGGTGGTTAAAATAATCAATTGATTTATTAATAAACAAAATCACAATATTTACATTAGAGCAGCTGATTGTCTGATCCGATTGGATTGACTAGATTGACAGCGCTCCAAATAAGGTCAATGACCGGTACCAACTTAATTTAAAATAGTCCCATGCCCAACTACCATCAAATTTCCCCAGAACCCCTTGACACAACCTTTTTCAAGGACATTGAAGGGACAAGCAGAGGTCATTCAGGTCGAGGACTTTAAACGATTAAGTGTTCGGGAAAATTCCTCAGGCACATTTTGCCGATTTCTGAGTTGTCCAGTTTTCGCTCATAGATCTAGGGTGGCTAATCCATTATTTTAGCACCAAAGCGCCTTCCGCGGATCTCTTTGTGAGCCGAAAAAAAGCAACGTGATCCATTGTTTGGTCCTAAAGGCCAAAGTATTTTGGTAAGTGGTTTTTCTTATTCGTCTTCTCTGTGTTTCTCTATTGCCTATGTAAAAGCATAGGTTTCTGTTAATTATATGGTTAAATTCCGAATATTGGACATACCTACCTATCGCTCCACGCCCAGTCTCATAACGTCCATTTGATTCAGGCCTTATTTATTCATCACGCTTTAGTCCCTAACTTTGAGTGAATAGTTAAACGTTAAGCTTACTGTATATTTCAAGTCGTACCTCCTGTCTTCAGCCTCCGCTTGACAATTGGAAGCTTTAGTGACTTCTAATTACTGAATTCCAGTGCCCACGGCCAGTTGCTTCTTGTCGCGACCCTGATCTAGTCCCAGGCTATCGGAGACACTGGAACATATCAATCCAATCCTTCAGGTTCCCCTCAAGAGATTAGGGACTACTCAGGTTTGATAAGTGTGTTGTGTTTATTGTTTTAATATCTGGAACCTATCATTAACAGAAAATGCAAAACGACTCAACCACCTTTTATAATTTTAAAATTAACGCTAACTTCACTTGTTCTACCGCTAACAACAATTTCAGAGAATTGTTTATACAATTAGAATATGAAGTGATGTAGTAGGTACTGATAGTCCAGGGACGCGCGCCCGTCTCGGTGTTACTCGTGTAGCCATCCACACATTCGGCATTCGTATAGTTGCCATTTTATCAAAATTTTATGGTACGTCAGCCTACTGGGCCTCCAAATTCAAATGAGTGGAACAAGTTTACAGTTTATCCACAAAATATGTTCAACTTAATTAAATTGAGAAGTCAAAAGGTGTTTAGAATTACTTTAAATAATTATTTAAATACGAAATTAAAATCTATCCATTTTGAATTTGTAACTGGAGCTGCTCCGGAGTAACTCTAATGGGTGAAAAGCTGTTTGTACCACTGGCTGCGGAAAAAGGTGTGGTGCAGGAGAGCTGGGATGAACTGTTTCATAGTGTGCAGTAGCTATCAAGGCTCATGTACAAACAGTGTGTCCATACTACAACAAGACTTTGGGCATTTTGAAGAAGAGCTTGACTTATTCGGAACTTTTTCCGAAGAAGATGATGGAATTGATTGAAAATGATATACAGGGTGTCCCACGAGGTTTTGCGCAAATGATAACTTCGGAACGCATCATCGTATGTTCCACTGTTTAATTTTTTATCATTTTCTTTAATAAAGCCTTATAAATATGGCATCGCCGATTTTGTAATTTAATTTTCTAACAAAAAATGCCATAATATACCATGAGTTACATTTAAAGTTCTAAAGTTGACGTCACTTAACTTAAATTGAAGCGAAAGTGGTGAAATTGGATGACAATGGTAGAAGCAGCACAAAAAGTTACCCAGATCCTCAAAATTTCAATTATATTGGATGACGCGTTCCGAAGTTATTATCTGGGCAAAAAGTCGTGGGACACCCTGTATATTCGATACAAATAAATGGTGGTTAAACTTTTAAGAACTAACGAAACTTTACTTACGAAATGTTAAAACATAACCCTAAACTTCCAAATACTCTAACCACTTACTATGGGTTCGGATGAAGTAGCAAAATTATATCTACACGCTTTTGGAGGACATTTTTCAGTCTACAACTTATTTCCTTACTGTAATATCAAGAAAAAAAAAAATACAAAAGGAATATTTACCAAATACCTGAACTGCTACCACGTGACAACTTTCCATATTCAGCGGCTCGTATCTGGAAAACGGTAATACTTAGGTACCTATAAATGTAAATACATACATCATTCAAAAGAAAATTTCCCCCTCCCCCCCTCGGCGCATAAAATCGACGGGATTTTGTGATACGTTGTTAAGGACACCATCCCCTACACATTCTTGAAAAAATTGGAACCCCATCATTTATTGCACGATTCGCCGCCTTGTTGAATTAGTTTGCTTGGACTATAGAGGAGGACAGGATAAGCGAATAGAATCGTACCACTTTTGTTGTTTTATTTCGCACTACTAACTCACCTAGAAAATCATTTATTTCACATAGCGTGCCAAAACTACTTTTCACACGCTACAATAAAAATGATACTTCCAATGAATTTTTGTTCTGCAAGCAACTCTGAGTTTATTCAGCGTACGTACGAAAATTGTTCGTTAATTATGACCTAAAATAATAATAATATTATAACAAAAAGGAAATCAAATCTCAACGTGAATATGGTTATTTCGCAGTCGTAGAGAAAGTATAGTGTGTAACGCATATGAAAAGCACTTTTCACACTTGTGTGGTTTGTGCCACCAAGCTTTCCCACGCATGTGAAAAGTGCTATTTTCAACACTTGATGGACAATATACTAATTCACACGCTTATCAGCTCACTTTTCACACGCTGAAATGACACGTCCGTACGAAGCTTCATACTACGAAGTGAAGAGATTTCATTTCTACCTCTCTCTCTGTTTTCAATTTGATAGAGCGACGCGGTTAAATGTATTCAGTAAGCATTGTAGTGAAAACTCGATACATGTTTTAATGTTGACAAAACCACAAGGCTTATTTTTCTTATTTTTTATTTGTTCAGTGATGTTTTGGATTGAGCTTGTTCAATTTATATTTTTATACACACTCTTCAAAAAAACGCAGTTATTCATGTACCCACAAGTCGCTAACATATGCCGCTATGTAGTTGAAGCGTCTGTCTAAATCAATTTGTAGTTTTGAATAATTCCACTGTGTTGTTCAACAGTAGCAAAAATTCAAAATTTGATTGAGCAATATCCCTGGAAAACATGATGAGCGTAAGTGAATACTGCACACCCTAAAGTGTGTTTAGATTCTATGAATCGAAATGGCAGTTTACTAACAAGTTATTAAGGCAACTTGTCTAGGCGAGACTGCAAGCTATAAATTCCAAAATCATAATTTATTTATGACCTAACAAATCTTTCAGTTGAAACAGTAAACGATCTCCGGTGATATTGGGCCAATTGCCGCTTTGTTGCTTCCGATCTTAGTCAGCCGTGATCTTGAGCTATGCTGTCATTTTGATGTGCAATTGTATCTACTTGACGTTTAAAACTAATCTGTAATCCTACACCGATCGAGGCAAGATCAAGTTAGGTCAACGCAGAATAGAATAGAGTTTTAGCACAAATAATTTATAACTGTTCTCAATACTTTTGTTGGGTAAACCCTTCCAGTTACACAGTATGTGATCCAGATAATTGTATACAACTCCTATTATCACCCTGCTTTATTAACTTTTCTTGGTATTCACTCATTTTTGCAAATTTGTCATACTGCCTTTGTTTATTATTCATAAAACACATGTCAGCTTTTCCACATACTTCGTTCGTAGCAGGAAACTTCAATATTGGCAACGATTTGACCAATCACATAGAAAAATACTATAGTAATACTTTAAGGTAGAGAAGATGCGAAAACGTCTAAGCATAATTATGTCAATCGAATATTATCAATATCTAACTGCTGTGCTAATTAAATGATGTGTCACCTTATCAATTTCGAAACTATTGTTATTTTTAAAATTAAATGTGCATTAGGGAATCAATTCGATCCCTGGTATAGTCGTAGCGAATGAAAAGTAGTCTACCAACGTACTTAAAGCTTATACTCAACGCATTCTTAAAAATAATAAGCCTATCAAGTGATTTGCATACCTACTAGCATTCAGCCGTTATATTATTTAAACTTAAACCTCCTAACTAATAAAATAAAATAAGTAGGTATGTACTTTTTCAGGAAGTATACCTACAATTTATAGAAATAGTTTATCGGCACCTTCTCTATTGTCAAATGCTTCGTATTGCGAAAACTTCTATTACCGTTCAGAAAAGCGGTAAATTACAATTTGTTACAGACAATAGAAAAAAGATCAAAGAGTAGGTGTAACACACGGAAGACACAGTTAATCAGGCACATCAGTCTATACTATCGTACCATTTATCTTCTTAGAATCTTTTTAGACGAGTGACTTAAAATAGGCTTAACCTAACGGTATTTGCTGATTATGTTCGACTTAAGTCTACGATACTACGATAAGTTAACAAAAAAAAATATATATATACCTATACGAGTTTTTAGTGAATCTTTTTATGTTACTCGTGGAAATTCAGATTTTCCTGCAAACTTTCTGTTGATCTGTGGGTTATTTGTGTCTTGGACAAAAAGCGTCAATGTCCAGAATACAGCGGTGGGAAAGAAAGATGAGCATTATAAAAAAATATGCAATTTACTCTCAGTATTTTAGCAGCACCTCTTTGCGCATCATAAGAGAAAAACCATTATCACAAGAACCTTTATGGATAAGGATGGCCTTAGTTAGTAGTATGTACCTTTATATTCTGTGGTAATTCCAATATTGAATATACAATAATTTGTGGCATGTTATAATCTTCTAATAGCTGAACTTTTCTCGGTACAGGTGGCAATGGCCTAAGTGAAATCATCAGAAGCTTTTTCAAGCAGAGCGCCATGGATTTGAGATCGAGATTTGAGTCAATGCTGATGTTACTTATTGAATAGAAGCAGAGGTAGATACTGGTGGCATTTGCTGGTTCTGTTCCATTCAAATTTCCTCAGGAAGTAGAGTTGGTTTCACTGTCACTAGATGCTTCTTCATTTGTTGTGAGAGAGGATGTGGCCAGATACAACGAAAGGCTAATATGAGATGTGATAGAAGAAAACAAAGGTTTTAGAGTATTTAGGAAAAAACTGTATAGGAAGGAAAATCAGAAATTATTGTAACACTGAAAGATGAAAATGGAAATAAAATTGAAATCTGAACGGAGATCTTAGAGTTAGTAAGGAAATTCTATGAAGACTTGTATTCCGAAAAAGTTCCATAAAGGCAACACGAGGTAACAGACAAGAGAGCTGAACTGACTAGATATAACACTGAGGAACTACCGCCTATAAGTAAATATGAGATCAAATCCGCCATGAAGAAAATGAAAAATAATAAAGCAGCTGGACCAGATGACATAGTAATCGGTTACATCAAAATTAACGGCCGAACACTAAGTGTACCTGGAGGGACTCTTCAATCGCTGCCTTTACAACGGGGAAATACCAGACTTCTGGAAAAATGCAAATGTTAATATATTGTACAAAAAGGGCGATAAAGAGGATATAAGGAACTACAGACCGCACTGAAATATCACTGAAGTCTCATCTCTACAAATTACTAACAAAAATATTGAACAACAGAATCGCTAAGAAACTAGATGCTTTTCAGCCTGTGGAGCAAGCAGGTTTTCGCGGAGGTTACAACACGGGGGACCACTTGCATACATTGCTTCAAGTGATCGAGAAATCCCAACAATACAATCAACATATATATTTTTCCTTCATTGACTACGAAAAGACCTTCGATACTGTCGAAAAATGGGCCTTTCTGAACGCTCTGAGGAGATGCCGTATAGACAACAAGTACATACAACTTATCAAAGCCTTCTATGACAACGCCATTATGACAGCTACCACGGAACCAATTCTATACACGTAAACCGAGGGGTGAGACAAGGCGACACAATCTCCCCGTGCGGCTCTAGAGGATATATTCAAAAAGCTAGAATGGAACAATGTGGGCATTAACATCAACGGTGTGCACCTTAAGAATTTACGTTTTGCAAACTATGCTCTTAGCCCAAAAAAACGCTGCAAAAAGCCATGGTCTTCAGATGAATGCGAGTAAAACAAAAATAATGTTAAACTCAGGCGACGCTACGATGGTCGATTTGGGTAACAACTAGTTATTAAGGACGGTCGATGAATACATATATCTTAGACGGAAAATATCCTTTGATAAGAACGTGCAACTGACAGAAATCAACAGAAGGATACAACTTGGATGGGCAGCATATGCAAGGCTTAATGGCGTATTTAAGACCAGTTTTCCACAACACCTCAAAACCCAGGTCTTCAACCAATATGTGCTACCAACCAGCCCCAGAAATGTGGATCCTGAACGGCAATAATAAATATAATGGTACCACTAAGGTGCTTTAAAACAATATTTGGTATTCCATCAGGACCTAATGTGACTTTATTTGGAAGTTTAGCAATTTTGTTGAATATATCCAATCTTGAAATATTATTAGAAAAATGGAAATTATTTGATAAGTTTACAGGTGTATCCAAATCATCCAAGTTCATATAGCTGCCCGGAGTGTGAACTGTCTAAAATTAGTTTTTAAACAAAGCTACAATATTTTGTCCATCAGCTACCTCCTATCCATAAGTCATGCATTGAGGGAGAGAGTGATTTGATTTTAAGTCACGTATGTACCTATGTCCAAAAGTATTTTGGATTGATTTCAAATTCATTACCTACTCTTTGTGTAAATCATGCCCAACAATCATTTCTTACTCGTTTGCACTCCGAACGTAGCCTAGAAAATCCATTATAATCAAGGGGAGATTTTGATTGCATATAACATCTATGTGATATTTTCTTGCGGTAAACAAGATCTTTCAATTCAGGCGAAAACCATCTGGGATAAGTTCTACTTTTATACTTCTTGACAGGCACAAACAAAGGAATACCCTCACCTAAAATCTCATAAAAATATCCCATGCAGTATTAACATCATACTGTGACATGCATTGCTCCCAACTGATACCTGCCAAATAGCTATTCAAACCAAAATAGTTGGCGTTTCTGAAATCATAGTAGAAGTCATCAAAAGAAAGATTATTTGATCTGTGCCTTGACTGAATATCACTCAATGTACATTCATACTGAATATGATGCAAGCTGCCATCCAAAATAGGGTCCTCAGCTAAACGTACATCCACGCTATAGTCACTAGTAAAAAGAGGATCTAAATACACATCTCTGTTGTTTGGAATACTAATAATCTGATAAAGTTGTAAAAACCGAAGAGTTGAACAACACCTACTGCCGAAAAAGCACCAGGACAGGTGCACAAAGAGCCTCCAAATAAATATATTTTCTGAGATAAATATTTTTGCATTACCAACTCAACAGTTTCACAGTGTGTGCTGTAATAAATGTCCGGCATACCAGGTGGAATGAATAAACCAGCAATTATAAACTTAGAGCCTTTATAAACACATAAAATAAATAACTGTTTAACACTTTGTTGCGTAATAATTATTCTTACAGCCCTGATTTATTTCCTTACATATAAAGGGTGTTCCGAAACTATTGTGCCAAAAATTAGGGGATGATAGATCTCGTCAAAATAAACGTTTTTCGCTTATAAACCCATAGGCGCATGCGCTTTGGTTAGGTGATAATAGCAGATTACAGTCCGCGCTGTTGTAGCTACGTTGCGCACGAAAAAACGTGTTTGAAGCAGAAACTGTGTTATTATAATAATAAAGAAATCCCAGGAATACTTGCAGTATTTATTAAAAACATTGATTCACATCAGAAGATGATCAAAATTATGACGACCCGCCTCAACGCATGCGTGACAGCGCTATAGCATAGCCTCCAGAACACCTTGAAAAATTCTTGGCGTTTCGCGAATTTCAGCAGCTGCTGCAACAATCCTTCCTTCCCACTAACTATTTTTCTGTTTCAACTGGAGTGTTGTTCACTTTCATATGACATCATGAAAAAAGTCGCATTCGGTCAGGTCTGGTGAACCTGGAAGTCATGCAATAGGCACGCTCTTACCAAACACTCTTTCCAGATTATGTTTCGTTGAGATGTTCCTTTACGGCTTACGAGTGGTGAACCTCCGTCGTGTTGGTACCACATGTTTTGTCCGGCTGGGTTTGTATTATTTAATAGCACAGTTTCTGATTTAAACACGTTTCTCTGTGAGCAAGGTGGCTACCACAGCGCAGACTGTAATGTGCTATTATCACCTAACCGAAGCGCATGCGCCTATGGGTTTATAAGTAAGTTTATTTTGGCGAGATCTATCATCCCTTAATTTTTGGCACAATAGTTTCGGAACACCCTGTATAAGTATACCTCCACCACTAATTTTTTGACTAGTCGGAGTAGATCTATCCTTCCTAAATAAATTAGAATAAGAGCATTCAAGTTCGCTGTTCAAAAAGTCACTATTCAAATTGCTCTCCACCAAAACTAATATATCGTAACAAGAACCATTCACAGCCACCTTCAGACCATCTAACTTTATACGTAGTTCACTGACATTCTGGTAGTAGAAAGCTAATGGGGTAACATTTAGTTTTCTTGTGATTTCTGCTTTTTGCACACAACCATTGGTACACCTTTAATGTACCTGATCAATAAGTCTGCCTCCCCATTATCACTTCTACGAGTAAGTTCTTCTAGAGCTGCTTTGTGTGCATTCTGTTTCATTAGTGTGGAGTCATAAGTTAATTCGTAATTGCATGACTGTGCTTTAAGCTTTTGTTTTGACCTTTGTGTACAATTTCTGAATTGTTGAAAATTACT